GACGGGGTGACCGTGAGTGAGCCTCCCCCAGGCAGGAAAGGGCTCGGTTGGCACACGACCCCCAAATGGCACACCGGTTCCCTCTAGGAGGGTGACCCCTGCAGAACTAAGGATGGGAAATCCCCAGGAAAGGGGGCCTGGGGCCAAGAGCCCCTCGCTCTTCTCGGGGTTCAGCTTGCCAGCTTGAACGCCGGATGGGCTCTGGGCACTTGGGAGCTCCGCAAAGTGGGATCCTGCCCAGCTTGGGCGGCGTGCAAACAGAATAAAATCTATAGACGCTCCCTCCCGCAGGGGGGTCCGTTTGGCTTCCTCACCCCGGAACCACCAGGCCGGCCCTCCGTTTTCCAGGCCGTGTCTGGGGGGCTCTGGGTGCGTCGCGCCGCCGAGCCTTCGCCCGGGGGCCTGGATCCCTCCTCGTCTTGCTACAGTGCGCTGAGAGTCTCAAGCAGAGCCGGCAGCTGATTTCAGCCTACAGCGGGTGCCCACCTAATTGGAAATGCCATCTGTAATTTAAATGTCAGCGCCGAGATGGTTATTCAAGCCCCCCTCGGTGGCTGTGCCTCATTTCGCAGTTTCCAAACAAGACAAGCCAGCGCTGCCAGCCGAGCATGGAAAGAGAAGTCGTTCTCCCCGCCTGCTGAGATCTCCTCGTTTCGGGTTCTGCCCGGATCCTCCGGTTTCCTTCCAGCTGGCACCAGTTCCTCCCCGTGCTGATGCTCCATTTGGGAACTTAAGAGGGGCGTGAAAGAGCGCCTCTGAACCTGTGCAGAGAGCTCACGCCGCCTCCGCCCCCTCCCTTCCCTGCCCCGTTGGGAGCCAAAGCCCGGCCTTCCCGGAGATCGGACTCGAGGTCTGCAGTGCGGAGGGCAGGACCCCGCTTCCGTTGGCGGGTCTCGTCCTCGGAGTAATTCTTTTTCCTCCTGTCGGAAAAGCCGGCCGTTGATCACGGAGTCCCGGCTTTGCTTCCCGAGATGCTTTCATTTGTAACTCACAAAGGGAAACAGCCCTGCCAGGTCACCCACACCACAGGAAACAGCAGACGCACTTTAGCTGTACTATATTGGATTATTTCGCTGGCTGGTGATGGGAAAAGCAAGATTTAATTCCCCCAGCCAGGCTGGGAGAGAAAATCACTTTTCCTTCCCCATTTCCCCCCCCTTCTCTGAAGTCATTTCTCGTCCGTTGCCAGCGGAAGACCATGGCAGACGCCGTGAGCTAAACCCCACAATCTCTGGGTTTTCCTCCCATTCCTAAAACCTTTCCTATTTCTTGAGGTGATCGATTTCTGAGTCTGTGGGACTCAGAAATTTTTAAATTTTTAAAAAGAAGTGGAAAGAGCTGTTGGGGGCCGGGAAGAGGGAACCATTTCCCAAGGCAGGAAAAAGGCTTCCTGTGTTGGTTCACCTGCCATGCCAGGTATAGAAACTCGCTTGGGGAAGAGGGTGCATTATTGGTACGATCTTGAGATTCCCTCTCTCTTTCCGGCCAGAGTAAATTTCTTTTCCCTCCGAGGTACTTTTCGGGAGGTACAAACACATCCCCAAACACGAGAGGCTCTGTTCTTGCCTGGCACAATTCATCATTTAATTTTTGACTCTCACCTAGTTGAGACGCCCCGCTATGAATTGCTTTTCAAACCTTTCGAGGGCAAAGATCCCCCAAACACTGGATCGTCCTGCCAACATTTATGGAAAGATGCCGTGCCCGAAAGGACCAGAACGGTTGCTAAATTTTTGGACGAAGCGCTCAAAAGTAAGGGTGAGCAAATCCCAAATGGGGACGGCTTTCCCTTTGATCAACCCTGCGATATGTCAAGGCCGTGTTTCTGTATTTTTTGCTCTTCTAATGCCAATAAAGGTTTTGAACTGGCAGAAGAAAAGTGCGGGTGCAAAGTTGTAGAGGTAAACTGAGCTCCGCGAGGCGGGAATTGGGGCGATGATGATGACCGGATCCGTTCTTTGTCATTTTTGGACATCGGAAGCCTGCAGGACTCGAGCCCGACCCGCCACCATTCCCAAGAAGCAGGTTTAGGCTGAGCAAAAGCAGAAGGACAAATCCGGTAGCAGAATTGCCGGATCGTGGAAAATGCCAAACCTGAACCGGGAAAATGTTTCTCTCCTTATTCCTGTGAATCGTGCATGGTGTTGAGAGCCCGTTTAGGTCTCCGGGTGCTAAGCCTGGGACTCCCATATTCTGTCTTTTCTAGGAAGGGGGGCTAAGGAAGGATTGGGACCCAGCATGCAATTTTGGGGCTCGAGGAGAATTAACACGCTTTCCCGTTCTGCTAGCGATGGGCTGTTGGACTTTAGGGGCAGTTGAGAACATCATATCCAAGGATGGGCAGACTCAGTTTTCCTGATTTTTCTCCCTTCAGGACTTCGGTGGGGATTGCTTCTTGGTGTAAAAAAATAACTCTTATCCCAGTTTTTGTTGCAGGCTTGCACATCTCAACATGGTGGCCAACCGGGCTGCTCGTTTTGGCCAGGGGTGGCTCTAAAGGGCGCGACAGCCGCAGGAGGGCCGGAGTTTGGGGCGGCCCCGGTCTGGCGCTGAAGAAAAGCAGCCCCCCCGATGCGCTTGGCTCTGGCTGCGTCCCTCCCAGCGGGCGATCTTCTGAGGTCTCTGCTCCCCCCCGCCAGCCAGGCCCGTCTGCCCGCCCGGGGCTGCAGCCTTTCGCCCATCTCCTTTGCCTGCCAGCCCCCCCCCGCCCCACTGCCTTGGGCTGGGCACCGGAGCTAGCAGGAGCTGCCGGGTTCCTCCGCCTTCTTCCTCGGGGTAGGGCAGAGCCCCCCAAGATACAGCTAATCTCTGCACGGGAATAATCATTGCAGAGTCCCTCCTCTTGACCCCAAATCTGGCCTTTTCCCTCGCTGGTTTGCTTTTCCCCCTGAAAATGAATTGTGCAGCATTCACTTTCTCAGCGCGAAAGCAGCAACCCTCTGCCGAAGTAGCAGCTGACAAACATTTGGGAGGGCTAGGAAAGTCAGAACGAAAAACGGCAAATGGACAGGGTCCCTTCTCCAAAAGACCAGGCCAGCTGGCAGAGGGGAAGAGGGAGGCTGTCTGCTAAAGGAGGGCAATGGGACAGAAGGAGGGACCGTGGAGAGGATCTCCTCCAGGCCATCTGCCGGAGGTCCCCCTTGATGGCCACGTCCACCTGACCGCTGGGCACGGTTCCCCCGGCCTCGCTTGCTGAAGGCCAGCACTGCACCCAGGGGCCGCCCACTGGCCTATCACGCCGAATAAATATTCAGTGGATGACATCTCCCGAAAGAAATTAAAAACTAAGGAATATGCAAGAACAAGACCATTGCACCAGGGATAGGGCAATAAAGGTGGCCATTCAGAGGCTGATGATAATGAGGAAGATTATTCCATCCCCACTCGCCAGCTAGGAACAAAATATTGGCAAAGCGTACATTAAGCTAAAAACTGCAGCCAACCTCACCTTTGCTCTCAGGACGGCAGACGACGCCGTCCCTTTAAAATCATATTAATGAAAAGAATACCAGTAATAATAATATCTTTCATTACAACCAAAAGGTAGCTGGAAAAAAACATGATAGGAACTTAATGGAACGTTCTGCCTTCAATGGTCTCTGCAAAATTGCAAGGGCAGGTAAGGCCTGCCCTCTGGTGGCCGTTGTATGCATTGCAGGTCAGGAAGCATCAGGAAAAATAATATTAATAAGCAAAATCAGGGGAATAATCCGGGAAAATCCCACCACATTAGGGATGGGGAAAAGGCGAAAAACCCCTTGAAATCAGGAGAAAACTGCGCCTTACAGAGTCTGTGGGAAATTGCACGGGGAAATTGCATTGCAGGTGGTGAAGAGAAATTGCAAG